TTAGTGATGATTCTATTTGAGAAATAAAAATAATTAGTCTACTCGCCTATTAGAGGTGCATTTTCGATAACATCTGGAGTAAGCAGTAGTCTGATAAAAATATTGGATATTTAGTGGCAGTTTTTGATTTTTTTGACTGAATTGTGATCTTCTCCTTTTGTCCTTTCACTCTGTATTTTTTACTACGGTGCATTTTTCATGTTCCATCAACCTCCAGAAAATATGGATACAGTTCTTCCCAATATTCAGTTCCAGTGGAGTTCTGGAGAAAAAATTCCAAGATATACAAGACTTTTGAATAAAATCATTATTTTTGTTTCAAGGGGAAATCACGAAAACGCTTTGAGGAAGTCCCAATATATGTATGACTGACTTTTGATCAGAAAAAAACTTTTCAAGTTCCAGCATCTTTGCAAAATGTAATGTAGACCATAGTGTAATGGTTCCACTTCACACAACCTGTGTAAGTTTCGTGCGGACTTTTTCAATGTTCTAGCTTCCATTGAAGTCGCTGAATTATCCCATCTGATATCGAAAACCACATGAAAATCTGTATATTTCTTTAAAAAATACAGGTCGTCGAAGAAGTCAAATTATGAGTGGTCCATTTAGTGTATATTATATGTATATAATTGTACTGTATATTCCTCAACTTTATCAAATGTCTACAATCTACACTGATTTTTGACATACTAAGAGGACATGTATTATATCCTTGTCAGGTGTTTTTAGATTCAACATGCTACTATGTATTTGTTTTTGAGGAACATACAATTTGAAGATGACCAAATTATTGCAAAATTAAAACACTTTTTTTTTTAGAAACACTAGGTATGCATGATGTTTTTTGAACATTATAGGGATTCCCTTTTCCAATAGATAAAAAAAGTAGTATCAGTGCCTCTATGATCCTTTAGAATTTTGATATTGAGGGAAGTTATAATATATTTTTTCTGTGATGGAGAAAAAGCAATGTCATCTCTGTTGACAAGTTATAAAATGTTACTTTTCATAAATTACTTTTTTCCCGGATATATATCACATACACATACACTGTTGATGGCTTTTGTTGTGCTATAGCCAATAACACCGTCTCTGAGAAAGAACTTCAAGTCCTTTTATCTCTCATTGGACTTCGTGGTTATGTAAATTACAAAACAACCACTGAATTCGCAATTTTCAAAATCAAATCACAGAAATAGACTGACAGATATTTGATAACTTCAAAATTCACGTCGATAATGTTCTGATTTCAATATAATGTTGATTCATCTTTTTTCCAGTCACAGAAAAAATTGTGTATTATACATGGGGAAAATATTAGTTGTAGCTCACAATTTGGAGCTAAAATCAACTACTTTTTTCCCTTGTATAATAAATAACTATTATATAATTTCCTCCAATGAAATACTAAGCTTGTAGAAAATGCTTCTGGACTCTATCTATATCCAATATATGAGCTTGGAAGGTTGATATTGGCTTTGGTGATGCTACTGACACAGTTGAGAGAATATATACTATTCTCTCAACTGTGCTACTGATCAAACATGTAACATCAATATTGCCCTGTTAAGCAAAAACCCCATATTATATTGATTTTTTTGTCAAAATTGGGTAAGAACCTGCTTCATATAGATAGTACTAATATCTATGTTCTGATTAAGCAAGAATACTGTGAAATTAATCTAAATAATTTTAATAAACCATTGTTATAACCAGCATTTGAAAATATCATTGTCAAACTCATGGGCGGCTCGTGCTCTTTTCAAATGGGGAGGCTGTATGAGAAGTCTGAATGTGGAATTCTATGAAAATAACTGCGGACACTTATAAGGTTCTTGTTCATAGAAAATCCGGAAAAGGCGCTGGGATCGTCATATTTTTAATGGACATCGGACCAATTTAGCTTCAATTTCATACTAAAATCATAATGAGGAAAGATTTGTTTGTTTGAATTAAATGGGCTCCGAAACTACTGGATCGATTTGGCTAAAAATTGGTGGGGAGGTAGCTTAAAACCAAGAGACCATCATAAGATACTTTATATCCTGGTAGAAATTCAAAATGGGGCGGATTTTGTGATTATGATTCGATTCTATTCCAAGGTATCTGGGAGTTTTCTGGGTTGGTAATTATGATTCTTCCGTCAAAATTTGGAAATTCAAGATGACGGATCCAATATGGCGGATGAGTTTTGTAATTATGATCTGATTCTATCCAAAATTGGTATCTGGGGGTTTTTGGGGTCAGAGGTTATGATTACCTTGTGAAAATTTGGAAATTCAAGATATCTGATTCACTGTAGTAGAAGGGTTTTGTAATTATTATCCGATTCAATCCCAAATTGGTATCTACAGATTTTTGGGATCGAGGATTATGAGTCCTTGGTCAAAATTAGGAAATTCAAGATGGCGGATTCGATATCAGGTTTTCAGGGCCAGAGGTTATGATTCCTTTGTGAAAATTAGGAGATTCAAGATTTTGGATCCACTGTGGCGGAAGACTTTTGTAATTATAATCCAATTTAATTCAAAATTGGTATCTAGAGGTTTTCGGGATCAGGGATTATGAGTCCTTTGTCAAAATTTGGAAATTCAAGATGGCGGATCTGATATCACAGACGAGTTTTGTGATTATGATTCCATTCTATTCAAACTTGGTATCTGGGGGTTTTCTGGATCCCAGATTGATTCTTCTGTCAAAATTAAAAAAATCTAGATGGCTGCTACAATGTGGCTTTTATCATACAGTGTGTTACAAATTGCTCCACCCCACCCCTGTATTTCCTTATTCCTTGGGCGATTCGGAATTTTTTTTTCTCATATTATACTCCCCAAAATTATCTACTTCTGTCGAGAAAAAAAAATTATCAAACACAATTTCTTGGCCTACTGCGATCACAAAAACTAGAGCAAAACAGATTAGGCATTTTTTAAAAAAAATTTCGATAATGGCAATCAATTCGGACTAGTCACAAATACTCCTATATCAATTTTCAAAACAATATATCATACGGGGTGTTTTTTATTAAGGTTACAATTTTTCAATAATTGCATTTTTCAAGTCACCGTGTATAATGATCTTATAAGAATTTGAATGATACCAGGCATGATGATAGTCAGGATCAGATCATCTGGCTACAGAATGAGATAAATAACGAATAAAACCATTAGAAATTCAGATTTTTTATCAAGAAATTTAAAGAAAAAACTAAAAAAAAAACGTATCAAAAAATAACTTCAAAAAATTATCCAACGATCAAAACAGCAATTATTAATGCACTGGCCTCCCCGTTCACCGGACTCAACCCCTCTTGATTTTTCCTTCTGGGGAAAAGTGAAAGAAAAGGTTTACAAATTCAGGCCAACCAATAGAGAATAGTTGCGACAAAGGATAATAACAGTTTGTAGAGAAATACAACCAGAAGAATTGATGAGAGTTGTAAATAACGTGAGAAAAAGATATGAAAAATGTATAGAGAATGAAGGAGATTTGATAGAGAATACACACATCTAAACTTGTTGATATAATTGATGTTTTGTTCGTTGTATAATTTTTTGATGTTATTTTTTGATATGTTTCATTTAGTTTTTTCTTTAAATTTCTTGATAAAAAATCTTAATTTCTAATGGTTTTATTCGTTATTTATCTCACTCTGTAGCCAGATGATCTGATCCTGACTACCATCATGCCTGGTATCATTCAAATTCTTATAAGATCATTATACACGGCGGTGACTTGAAAAATGCAATTAATGAAAAATTGTAACCTTAATAAAAAACACCCCGTATGAGATATTGTTTTGAAAATTGATATAGGAATATTTGTGACTAGTCCGAATCGATTGCCATTATCGAAATTTTTTTTAAAAAATGCCTAATCTGTTTTCTTCAATTTTGCTCTAGTTTTTGTGATCGCAGTAGGCCAAGAAATTGTGTTTGATAATTTTTTTTCTCGACAGAAGTAGATAATTTTGGGGAGTATAATATGAGAAAAAAAAATCCGAATCGCCCAAGGAATAAGGAAATACAGGGGTGGGGTGGAGCAAATTGTAACACACTGTAGATCTAAGTGTGTATTTAGATCTATGCTTTTATAGATGGCCAAACTAAAAAGAAGAAGAAAATAGGATAAAAATAGTGTGTTGATGAATATACAACTGAAAAAATATTTTCTAGAAATTATGTTAATAGCAAAACAACTAGGGGTCAGCTAGTGTTCAATAAAATTCTGATAATTGAATTTCTATTTCCATTTTGAAAAGAACAAGGTTGGTTGAACTGATGAAAAGAAAATAATTCCTCCAGCTACATCTATTAGAATAAGATGTAACAGGAACCTTATATTGTGATTTTCAACTTCTTTATTGCTATCAAGTTTGGGCAAAACAGAAGTGCATCATCAGTGTGATCACTATATAAACATCACAGTCACCATGCTCCCTGGTGAATTTCATTAGTCAGAGGTTGCCCTCCCTTGGATGTTGTCAAGTGGCAAGTTTGTATTCTATTCTGAATACTTTTAGGTAAAAGCATTATGGCCAAATTCTCAAATTCTACTTGATATCAGCAAATAAAACCCATAAAACAAACCTAAGTTAGGTATTTTTGTGTAATATTTTATGCAAGTAAATGGATCTATTCCATGTATGGACATTCTTGAGGAGGCTCAGCTTCCTCTGAGGAGCCACCACTGGACAATCTAAACATAAACACACTAAATCCCTATTACAAAGCAAGAACACAAGAGACCTTGAACTATTTTTTCATGTTTATGCTTAGCTTCTTTATAACTAGCTTGCAGGAGCTTTGAATAATCCTATTCATCTTGGTTGGACATTTTCCACTTTTTTTGCTTATCAGGGCTGAATATTGAGAATCACCATTATCATTATTAGCAAGAAAACCTGGCTTGACACTAGGAACAAGTACCAATATTTTTCCCAACAGCATAATGTTGGCAAGGGCATCTCAACAGGTAAAATATGGAAACTTGCATACACTTTTATCTATGGTGAACTGTGCTACTTCATCTATTGCCATTTTTTGAAGAATTGCTTCCCATACTTCTAATTTGAACTTTTTACCCAACACTAATTCAAAGGGTTTTCCAGAGCCCATTTTCCTGGAATCGTCAATTAAAGTTTTGCTATTGTCACACAATCTTGTTTGGAAGTGAAAATGAACCTGAAAATGTATTCATCTCAAAGGGAATACTTGAATCTCTCTCGCACAGAATATACTTTTGTTCCATTTTTGAAAGAAACTTCTTTGGTACCAGCATACAGAGTTTTCTTTACAATAAGGTCTTTATTAGCCATGGAAAACTATGAAAACAAGCGTCTTTACTCTTTAATAAGATTTTTCTAAATTCAATTTGTGATTTAATGAAATTGACATAGATTGACAGTATTGACACAGAACACAGAAATTCAGCGAAGATAGAAGAGAAACAAATATTTTATGGATAAAATTCGTCTTGCCCACAGTGGGCACGAATTCGATCTGACCTGAAATGAAGCATCTAAAGTATTTTTTTTATGTTCTGGTTCCCACGGAAAGGGATAGCCTGTAATGTTCAGACTTTGTTCAGACTGAACTCAATATAAACAATAACATTGAGTTCATTGTGTCCAGGAGCGGGACTAACTTCTGTCTCTATAGGTAACGAAATCGACCAATAGGCGTTGATGTCGACGTAGTGAAAAAATAATACGGAACTTGTCAAACCAATATGGCTGTTTCCATCCTTCATTTCCTGCCCTTGATTCAAAAAGAACCTCTCATTTTGGTCCCATTTTTGTGGAGATATCGTATAGGCGATGCGCCATATAAAGAAATAGTACATATAAGATGGCTACAAGGGACTGGCATATTGGTGAGTCGACTCTTCAATTGTTTCTGGAGCAAACGTGACGACCCGTTTTGGAGAGATAAGAGTAGTTCTCTACTCATTTATAGATGGCGTTAGGTCGAATTGGGTCCAAGGTTGGTAGAGCTGATTATAATTTCTACAAAATAGTCATCAGTTCTACCAACCTTGATTGGGTCATTGGGTCGGACCTAGGGTCCCTTGATGGAAATTGACGTTAAAGTCATCTTAACAGGGTACGCAGATCATAGCTGCATTCTTTTTTGATTGATGATCTAGAGGCTTTAGTTTTGTCTACTGGCATCCCTGACATTACTGTCACCTCACATCCATTGGCGCTACAGGAAATCATTTTAAATTTTAATAATAGGTATGTACAGGGTATTTACTTGTTGAGGGAGATCATATTGCGAACGAGTTTTGTAATTATGATCTGATTCTATTCAAAATTGGAAGATATCGGGTTCTCCGGGGTTGGAGATAATGATTGTTTCGTCAAACTTGGAGAATTCAAGATGACGGATTCAATATATAGCGAAAGAAATTTTTAATTATGATCTGATTCTATTAAAGATTGATATCTGAGAGTTTTTGGGGTCGAACTTTATGATTTTTTGTCAAAGTAGAGATAGCGAATCCAATATGGCGAACGAAATTTGGTATTATGATCCGATTCGATTAAAAAATCAAAATTTGGTATCTGGGGATTTCCGGGGTCGGAGATTATAATTATTCCGTCAGAATTGGGATATTCAAGATGACGGATCCAATAAGGTGGACGAGTTTCGTAATGAAGATCCGATTCTATTCAAAATTGGTATATGGGGGTTTTCGGTGTAGGAGATAATGATCGTTTCGTAACAATTGGAAAATTCAAGATGAGGGATCCAATATGGCGAAAGACATTAGTTTATATAATTATTACTCTACCACAAATAGGGTATATCGGGAAATATGTAGGATGCAAGAGTGAAAATAAAGTGCCTATAAGTTATACTGCGCATACCTACTTCTTTGTTACTTTCATCAATAAATTATTCGGAAATGACTTTTTATTCAAGGGAGACGGAAGAATGAGGTAAAGTATATTCTATTCTTTATTTTTCTACATATTTAACATATTACTTTTTATCAGCCTACTTTTCGTCCTAGACGAAGTGTTATACATCGTGTGAAATAAGTAACTCCATAAATTCTTCTCAGAGTTGGATTTCCGAAAATATACTCAGCACACATGACATGAGTACCTACAGTAGTTTAGATACCCACATCGGGGTTTCCACCATTTTTCAATCATAAGGCTCAGTTCATTCAGCTCATAGATAAACTACTGCTCAGCTTGATATCAGAATTCATTCAGTCAATTCAGTCAACCCTGGTATATAGTCTAAGAAAAGTCTCCATTGGTGAAATATATTTTATAAGCTTTCAGTACAATTTATATGTTCCCTACCTCGCAAAGATTATGTTGGAGTAGTAAACTCTAAAACTAGAGGATTGTTAATCTATATCTTGGTATAGTTGAATCAGGAATTCCATATGGAAATTACGTATGATACGGCAGTGACCTCAATATAACCTAAAAAACAACGAATGTCAAAAATCTAGTGTTTATCCCATGTTTATCCCCAAAATTGAATAAGGATGGAACTATATAACTATTTCACGAACGCTTTAGAGTAAGAGGAGACGAGGATCTGTCCGTACCCTGTAAATATGAATTCAACGTCAATTTCCACCAAGGGACCGTAGCTTCCACCACCTCCACCTAAATACTCTAACCAGGTTTAACGGGAAATGTGCATGGAATATTCCTCTTGGTTCTTAGACTGTGCTTCTAGCAGGTGCGTAGCACGATGCCCAATTCCCACGATGCCCAACTCTCACGATGTCCAATTCCCACGATATCTAATTCCCACCAAACCCACCTTCATACCGACGATTGAGGCATGTTCATGCTTGTACGAATTCCGCAAAATTTATGCGATTCGCAAAATACGAAATTCCCAACAGAATTCGACGTTCATGCGACAAAATAACCTGGAGATAAGGGTTCTGTTGTCATATGATTTCTTCATTTCTGGTCCCACCATTGATAAAAGTGCATCAAATTGAAAGCACGTTACACGAAATTGATTTGAAATATTAATATAATCATTCACTCGCATTTATCAAAGGAGGAGGAGAATGCTTCGAACAGTACAGCTCCTTTTTTGCTTCTGGATATATCATTAGTTCTATAGAGACGATACAGATGATACTTGAGAATCCTTCCTACGAAGAAAATTCAGTCAAATGAAATGATGAAATTTTTAATTATAATTCTGTACTTATAGTGTCTATTCTCGTCTTTTGATGTTATATCACAATAACAACACATTATATTATGTGGTCATGATTCCATCCAAATTCGTGAAAAAGTTCAAATATTTCAACTTCATTGCGATATTCGCAGTCGCCATTTTATTCGCTTAAATTTCGTGGAATTCGTACAAGCATGAACATACCTTTACAAAGTTTGCCGAAGAGCACAACGTTGTCAGGCAAAAAAAATGCAGAAACCACAAGATTCTCACCATGCCCACCTTCCTTATATTCCCCCGATGACCATTTTCAGTCATTCCCACGATGCCCAATTCCTACGATGCCCAATTCCCACCATGCCCAATTCCTACGATGCCCAATTCCCACCATGCCCACCCTACTTGGATTCCCACAATGCCCACTTCCAATACAGTTCCACGATGCCCAATTTCAACGATGCCCAATTCTCACGATGCCAGTTTCCCACCATGCCCACTTCTTATACATGTCCACAACGCCCACCTTCATCATGGTGGGAATCTGAAGAAGGTGGGCATGATTCAGTATTTAGTATTTAGTAGTAGTTTTTAGTTTTTTGTGACTTGTCCACATGTCATGTGATTTGACCATATTTGGAACGAATAAATGAAATGATGGGATTGGGCATCGTAGGAATTGGGCATCGTGGGAATCTATGGAAAGTGGGCATAGTGGGATTCTTGTGTTTTCTGAATTTTCCTCTTGACCTGACAACGTTGCGCTTTCCGGCAATCTTCATAATCGTCGACATGAAGGTGGGCATCGTAGGAATTGGGCATCGTGGAGATTGGGCATCGCAGGATGCTCCTTTTCTAGCGACTACCGAGATGCTAGCGAGTCACGCAGCTATATTTCTTGCGTGCGTACTGTCTCTAGAAGTATATTTCTCCTCTAGACACTACTCTGACACTCGATAACCCTTGACTGATGACACAAGCCACTAGTCGCCACTCGAATCACTGGATTATTCGTCTGAGTACTGGATGGTATTAGTTTGTCGCCACCTAGTCGCCACAGTCAAATAGGTCGCGTGCACGATGACCGACCCTGGAGGCAAAATATTGAAACACAACCTCACTCTTCTGTGAATTATTGAAACACAACCTCACTTTTTCATTTGTTTACAGAGGAATCAAAAGGTTGAAATAGTTTTTAACAATATTTTGGCATACGAATCGTGTTTCTTGCGTTATTCATTAATTCAAGCATGCCTTCGCATTGTGCTGTTGTACAATGCACAAAAAATGCAGAAAAAAAAACTATTTCGATCACTTGTAAACAAATAAGAAAAGTGACGTTGTGTTTCAATGTTTTGCCTCCAGCCGCGGTCATCTGACAGTTCTTGCACGCAACCCATAGCCTTGAGCCGCCACAGTGTCAAAGTGTGACAGAATGACAGACCTGACAGTGACAGAATGACTGACCTGACAGTGACCAGTGACAGTGACGTCCATCCTTATCATAACATAACATACTTGTATGACAAAAACAAACAATATATATCAATGATCCTGGATGTTGAAATAATATGAGGCAAAGTTTGAATTAAAAAAATCAGTAAATGCAATGTGGTTTGTGAGACTTTATCAAAATGGAATTATATCGTACTAGCCAGTTTTACATTTTTGTGGATGGTAAACATTCTTTATGGTGGGACCGACAAACAAGAGCTTTCATTCCCAAAACTGGTGAGTTCAGTAGAGTATATCCTGATTCATAATCCTGACTTATCAAGACATTCGAGGAGATATCACTTGAACGCCCACCTTCGATAAGTGCTGGACGGGCCCATCTCAGTTAAGTGAGACTTTGAAAAATTGGTGCCCCATATGAATCATGCCCGTTGCCTTGAATAGATCATTCTATTTATTCATTGATTTTGAGTAATATGCATCATCATGAATGATCATGTGCAGCTAAGCTTCAAACCAGTGTAGGAATAAAATAAAATGAATAAAATATTAAGTACCTATATCTATCTTTCAATGAAAGCAATCAACAAAATATCCTTTTGATATCAATTGAAATTAATTATGAAATAGTTTCTTGAACAAGGAATTAGATACAAGGGTTAGGGTATAAGTACCACTTTACCACCAGGTACTTTAGCACAAGCTGACTACTTTATTGCCCAGCATATAGGTAACTCCTAATAAGCATTCCTGTATAATTCATGACATTTATTTTTTAGTTGGGATGGTTTATTATTATGTTCTCTTGATATTTCTGAGATGCAAACGTTTTCTGTGATGATATAAATTGACAGCAAATAATACTAATAATAGTCTACTCTTATTTTGGAAATTGACTGAGCTACATGGTGTGTTTTTCTATCCTGCTCCAGTGGTGAATTGGTATTCACAATGCAACATCAAAGATACAGGTCCTGAAAAAATTGTGTTTCTATTTCCACCTAACTTGCTTTCATGGACCTAGTCCTGTGTATCTATTTCAGGTGTAACTTGCTTTCATGGACCTAGGCCTGTTAATAGCCCTCCCTGCTCAGGCTCTCACTCATAGAAGCCTTTTTATGCCCTTGATACATATGGTATAAAGGATAAATAGATAAATAACTGCTATAAAAAATTATATTTTGTAAGCTGTTACAGGAAAAATACATTTGTTTCTCAAAGAAACAAATCAACAGAATATTAGGATTATGAATAAAATTGAACAAATAAACTGTAAAATAAGGAACTGTATACCTAACAGATGAACTTCAATAACCAAAAAGAAACAATAGTAAATAAAGGAAATGACCACAATTATACTAATTATTTCAGGTTTTTTTGGGATTCTCTCTTCTCATCTCTATAAAATAAAAATATGAATACTATTTCAATATATGTGTAGTGAGGACAAATCAGATGATTTGCCCCAAATTATCACTGACAAACTAGTGAATTTTTCTTTTAGGATCTCTGATAGGAAAATTCTTTAAATGCAGTGACATTTTGGGAAATAGTATTCATATTTTTATTTCATAGAGACAAGAGAAAATCCCAAGAAAATCTGAGATAATGAATATACCTCGGAATATACCACCTCTATTAACCTACAGACAGTATAATTTATGAACTGAATTTTGGAAAATTTTGGATCATGGGCTGGGATTATTTCTCCACAATTCACTTTGCCTTCCAATCAACAGTGCATAAGGTGACTCATGGAGTCAGTAACACAGCCTACATAGAACACAACTGGGCTGTAAACTCTTGTATTAGTCATTGGCTAAATAAAGGAATTATACAGGGTGAGTCATGACTAACCAGCCATGACCTAATGGCGGATAGAGGAAGTCAAGGTGAGTTGATATACAGGGTGATCCACGGTGGATGGCCTATTAGAAGTATCCGGAGAACGAAAAGACAGAACATTCTGAAAATTGGGATACTTTGATAATTGAACATTCTCTATCCATCTAAAATATTTTCATCCATACAGAAACACTTCTATCAGAAACAACTAGCAACTTTGTTATTTCAAATGGAACACCCTGTATTTTATTGCATTTTTAGATTCTTCATAAAGAGCTCATTCCATCAATGTGTCTAACTTGGGGTCTAGCAGGAATGATAACAGAGATATAGGGTGTTCACAATTGAGATGTTCCAATTTTAGGATTTTCTTGTGTCCCAACTATTCATTATCGATCAAAACGGCTTACATGTCCCTATCTTAACTTTTGATTCATCATCTACTGGAATTTAATTGGAAAAAATACAGAGTGCTTCAAGATTCAGAATCCTGATCACCCTGTATCTGTTCAAATTAAATGTCAGTAGATAGTGAATCTTAAGTTAAGATAGGGACATGTAAAATTGAAAAATATCGATTTTCAACACCCTATATATCTGTAATCATTCCTGCTAGACCCCAAGTGTGATGCATTGATAAAATCAGCTCTTCAGGAAGAATCTAAAAATGCAATAAAATACAGGGTGCTCCATTTGAAATAACGAAGTTACTAGTTATTTCTGATACAAGTGGCAACACTGTATCGATGACAATTATAGAGAATGTTCAATTATCAAAACATCCTGATTTCCAGAATGCTCTGTCTTTTCGTTCCCTAGATACTTCTAATAGGCCATCCACCTTGGATCACCCTGTATATGTGAAAAAATATATTTTGTCTATTCCTAACAGAAATACAGGGCATTTTTCGAATTTTGGGCGAAACTTTGATGAACGATATTTCAGGAATTAACCAGCAACTTACCTCTACTGATACACCACACAATGGCCGATTATTGGAAAAAATCCAGAGCCGGACTTGGAAAACTAATTTTCTTTTTGAATGTCAAAATTTCGACTACAAGTGTACCTTTTCAATTTGTATGGTACACTTCAACCAGATTGGTGAAAAAATGTCAAACACAATACTTTAATGAACGCTCCCATGATTTTCTATTGGCATATTGTACTCACATCATTCAACAAATTCATTTAAATTGATTTCTTGCATATCCTTGTGTCATAAGAGTTGGCAAGAGGCTCTATTCAATGAAAAAATCCAGGACCGGACTTACTTTTCTAGAAGAGACCTTTCAAACATGGAAATAAAAAATCCAATACCTTACTCCTCTCCCTATCCTTCCTAGATATAGGTATGCACGATCTTCTCCAAATATTATAAAAATTTCTTTTTGGGCACTCCAAGAGATGAAAAAAAATTGCTTGAGTAATATATTTTTCCAAATCAGATATACCTGCCAACTTATACTACATAGAGAAAGTTTTGAGGTGATATTGCATATGATATCAGTGAATCAAATTGTGAGTTTTCTGTTTTCATTATTCAGAAAACACAAAAAAAAAGGCTGTGATGGATGTAAGGGAATAGATTGAAATAGGTATTTTCTCTTAACAGGATGGGTACCTCCCCATTACTCAATACAAGTGAGAGAATTCCTAGACAAACAATTCTCTAATCACTGCATAGGTCGTGCTGGCCCTCATTCTTGGCTCCCTAGGTCCTCTAATCTCACAGTCTTAGACTATTTATTATCTATGGAGACATATGAAACGATTGGTATATCAGATTGAAGTCAACGCCAGAGTTCACTGAGGAAGAGAATTGTTACAGCTTCAGATATGATCAGAAATATTAGGCAAATTATTCGAAAAACCATAAGAGATCTTCCGAAGATAAACAGAAAATGTATAGAAATTGGAGGAGGACATTCTTCCTAGGAAAATATTAGGATACAGACAATTTCTTTCGAAAATTATGTTTTTCAATTATTTTCAAAAACCAAGTCCAGTCCTGATTTCCTTAATAATACTTTTTCTTAACTCTGCTGCTATATCAATGCAAAAAAAAAGATTCAAATACTTTTAGTCAAATGTAGAGAGCAATGACCCAGACGAAATCAAAGAAATACTGATCTGAATTTTGTTTGATATTTTTTCTGGTCGAAGTGTGCCGTACAAATTGAAAAGCTACACTTGTTGTGTTTTTCCCGAGGTTTTTCCCAATCTTTTTGATTCTGATGAAAGTTTTTGAAAAATACGATTCAGAAAGTCGAAATTTTGACATTTAAAAAGAAAATGAAATTTTCAAATCCGGCTCTGGAATTTCTTTTTCATAGTAGACCAACCTGTGGTATGTCAGTTGAGATGAATTGCTGGTGAATTTCAGGCCATAACATCAAGACATTCCTGAAATATCATTCACCAAAGTTTCGCCCCGAAATTCAAATAATGGAATTGACAAACAATATATTTTTTAATATATATATCAACTCACTTTGACATCCTCTATCCGCCATTAGACTATTGCTGGTTAGTCATGACACACTGTATATATATATATACAGGGTGTTTCATTGAGAAAGGTAAATAATTCGACTGTGGATAGTGGATAGGGGTCACTGGGGTGATTTAAAAAAACCCATGGTCAATGGGTCTTCGACTTCTTATAACCGAGATACAGGATGTTTCATGAATTTTGTCCATATATATTTTTAAAAATTTGTACACCTGCTCATCTACCCTGTGGAATTGATTGAGGTAACAACGAAATATTAAATCCAGGCCAGGTCCGGCTTCACTTAAAATTCACAAATTCTTTCTGCCAGAAAACAACACCCTATACATTCGAATTTCTCATTTTTTCTGTCATATCTGAAAAGAACATCAAAATTTCTATTCAACGATGTGCATTTTATTCGTGCACAGACGATTTTAACTATTCATATTATGTGCTCAAAATATTATTTTTGCTCATTTTGGGGTACAAAATTGGAATCAGACGAGATTTATTAATTTTATTACTTCCTATTCAGTATACGTGAGTATTACATTCAGAAGGAGTATTTCATATCGTTCGTTCTTCTTCTGAACAGAGAACCTCCAGCACAGTGCGAAATCTGCGAAATGCCACAATCCACACGACATATATTGTTGGAATGTCCTACTCTAGAATACTTACGACACGAATTCAATGTACCCAGGAACCTACCCGACGCGCTGAACAAACATCCAGATCGTGTGTTGAAACTCCTAGAAGAAGCGAACCTAATCAACCTCATCTAGTTAGTAACAAGGTGTTATAGAATGAAATGTTCAATGTAATGTACCCCGCTAATAACCCTAGTGGTTGATGCGGATTTTATGAAATAATAAAAAAAAAAAAACATTCAAGGTCTAGCGGGACTGATAACTGAGATATAGGATGTTCAAA